ATACTTAATTTTGTTGAGCCATTGGAGGTCTGAGCTTGTTGAGCGGTTAGAGGTCAACGTTAGATCTCCAGTTCCAGCGGGGGATGCATACCACTTCTTCCCGATGTGTACTACATTTACGGGGAAGATAATCTGTGTAGTTGATACGCCTGGAATCATTACTGACACTCCAGTAGTTCGAAAAACTCGTTAGTAATTCAAGCAAAATTCTAGTGCTTGAGCTAGATTGCTTTAATAATATACTACATACATTTATTATACAATACGAGATTATGACCTATAGACTGCTATAAATTTCTTCAGAGCTATTGTTGAGCCTGTTGCATGTTAATCTGAATGTCAATTTTGAACAAAATTCAATTTTAAATCGCTACCAGAAGTTAGAGGTCGAACCTCTCAGCAGAAATCAGCATATTAATTAATTGAAAAATATGTTTTCATAAAAATGTAGCTTTCTCCAGGAGCCTGAAAGCAAGTTGATTATAATTGCATTTTCTTTGTTTCAGACATATTCCCAAAGTGAAGGCTACAACAATGGCTGAAACTCCAGAATTAAAACGAATTGCAGAAAACACCAAAATCCAGTCAAATGTAAGTTTTATGATGTCAAAAATATAATATGTAAATATTGTACGAGTTGCATACTATATTTAATGTATGACAGCATTGTACATTTAAAAGAGAATCAAACTTAATTTTGCGAAACAACTTCCCTGTAACCACTCGGCTATTTGACATCGTGCGAGTAAACGGTGGCCGGCTGTTCCGTTTAGTTCTCCCCCCCCCCTCCCCGATTCTCTCGCTACGATTGCTGAATGCGTGATGACGCAATCTTTTGTGACTAAATCTAATACGTCATCATTTGTGCCGTAAAATTCCCGATTATGAACTATTTCTTGCAAACAGAAATGGTTCTTTTATAATGCTGGAATACAAACAAAATATTTTGCTGTGTGAGTATTTCATTACTGCACAGCAGTTTCTTGGCGGTTTCTCTTCGTCTCAAACGCCCAAAAGTCGACGCGCTGATAATATCAAGAAATGTTGCTAATTGACACCATGAATCTCGCAGGGTAGTTAATAAACTAGTAAGAGTACAAGGGGTGGGGATCTCTTCTGAACAACACATTGCAAGGCATCCCAGATATGCTCAATAATGTTCATGTCTGGGGATTTCAGTGACCAGTGGAAGTGATTAAATTCAAAAGTGTTCCTGCAGACTCTCTGTAGCAATTCTGCATGTGTGGGCTGTCGGGATGCACCATAGACATGAATAAGTGCAGGTGATCAGGCAGAGTACTTAAGTACGTGTCACCTGTCAGTCGTATCTAGACGTATAAGGGGTCCCATATCAGATCAACTGCACATGCCCCATACCATCACAGAGCTCCACCTGCTTGATAAGTCCCCTCTTAACATGCAGATTCCTGGATTCATGGTTGTCGCCAAGTATGGCAAGTATGACTACGTGTAAGAGTACGTACACGTCCATCCGCTCGAAACCATGTGACACGAGACTCACCAGAGCAGGCAATGTGTTTCCAGTCCAACGTCGGTGTTGACGGGCCCAGGCGAGGCGCAAAGCTTAATGTGCAGTCAACGGTACACGAGTGGGCCATCGGCTCCGAAACCCTATATCAAGAATGTCTCGTTGAATGGTTCGCACGCTGACATTTGTTGATGGTCCAGCATTGAAATCTGTAGCAATTCGCGGAAGGGTTTCAGGTATAATGATTCTCCTCAGTCGTCGGTACCGTTCTTGCACGATATTTTTGCGGCCACACTGATGCGGGAAGTATGATGTTTTAATGGATTCCTGATATTCTCGGTACGATCGTGAAATGGTCGTAATATCATCGCGACCTCTGAGATGCTATGCCCCAACTCTCTTGGGCCGACTACGTATAACACCACGTTCAACCTCACTTAAATCGTGATAACTTGCTATTGTAGTAGCAGTAACCGATCTAACAACTACGCCAGAATGTTTGTCTAGCAGCACCGCTAGACACCGAGACGATGCAAAAGAGATTATTCAACAGTAATATATTCGTGGTAGTATTGTTTATTGATCCACGGTTTCATATGTTGTACTTTCCTAGAAGAAAGACAAAAAGCTGAACACAGTTTATTATGAAGATGGTCACGCATGTCCAAAATGGAATAATCTCTATCAGCTGCCCTTTGAAAATGAAATCCTTCTGTAGACAGTGACGACGGCGATTCAATAGAAATACAATAATTGTCAAATCTTACTCCTGTCTCTGATTTAAGGTTAAATCTGTAAGGCCGTCCTAGATAGCCGAGGTCGTTAAAGCTAAGCTAAGGAGGGCCGTTACTGCCTCGGCTCGGAAGGTCGCAGGTTCTAATCCCGCCTCGGGCACGTATATCCTTGCGTGTTACTTTGCCCTTACAGTTAAAACAATCACAGTGGTCGTTACATAACCAAGATGTTAAAAGTCGATCTAAAAATAAATTAAAAATCTGCTAGTCTTCCCTGAAATTCATCGCTAGTGCAGAGATTTTTTATTTTTTATTTTTGGTGGAACCACCAGAAAGGAATCCACGCTTTGCAAAATAGCGAAAGTTGCCGTGGCAGGGTTTCCCATACACAGCGTGAAACATGTTTTCAATTTTAAAATGTGCTGTCATCGATACTTACGTAAAGACATTGTCTCAAGGTGCGTTAATAATTCGTTCTAATGCTAAATAAACATTGGCCTCTAATCTACTTTTGTTTGTAGAAGTTATATTATTCCTTTTTTATTATTAGATCTTTTCGTAACAAAACTTTTTAATTTTCGATTAAAATGTTATTTTTTGGACCATTATTTCAAAATTAAATTTTTGAATCCATTTATTTTACTTCCGTACGTAACTTCAACACAGGGCAAAGGCAGAGATTTCCTTCACGCTGTGTTTAGAAGTTAATTACGGTGTTTTCGAATTAACTACAAAGCACACATTCATGTAGGATAATAGGGAATAGATGCATTTAGTTCATTTTAATTTAATTAGTGCATCAATATTTTCGAGATCTGTAATTTCGAGAATAAAAATTGCTGTAGTTTCCTTTCCAACCTTCCCTTACACCCCTCACGGGTATCGGCTGGCTGCCGAGCTGTTGCAGACGCGCGTTTCCTGTCGCCTACGTAGAATATAACGCGCTTTGACCTGCGGAATATCACGTAACATCAAACTTGAAACAGAGTACCATGATATCACCAGTAAGATCTCTTTCCGAGTCCACCATGTTCACCGCAGGACACACTTCAATTATGACCTTTGATAGGTGTGCGTGTGTGTGTGTGCGCCTGTGTGTGTGTGTGTGTGGGGGGGTGTTTTTGGCACTGAGGCGACATATTATTTTCCAGGAAGGAATTACATTCCAGATCGTTGTATTTCGTACGAACGGGGTTCACTATAACCGAATCTTCTTGTGTTTATTTGTAACGTAAGTGAAACGGCACCAGTGACTTAAGTTCACTATATCCGTATTTACTACAACCGGAATTGACTGTATTCTTTATTATTCATTACTATTTCTTGTTAATTTACTCTTTTAATTCTACCTTACATAAACAGTTTTGTGAAATGACAGGGATTTTTTGAATGGAGAATTTTCCTTGTTTTCATTTTGTGTTACTTTTCATTAAATTCTTTAGTTCTTTATTTGTACCCCAATGTGAAATAAATTAACATTTTAAAAAGTTTCTATAAATTAACATCTCTTTTAACAGACACGTTAAACCTCCTAACCTTAACTTCCACAGTTCATGCAATTATTATATTCTTAAATATACAGTTGACAAGATAATCAACTTTCGATTGAAAATGGATAATTTATTTACTTTAGTAGAGGGAATGGAATTTTATGTTACTGAATATGGGGCAATGACTGTAAATTGACTTCAAAAGATTAGCCAGGTATCTTGAGACATAACGCTGCCTGAGGCTCTTCGTACAACCCTTTTAAACCTCCCGTCAATTGCTCTGGACCCAATGCCTGCGAATCCTCTTTTTCCTCCCCCTGCCCCGCCGGAATACGTAAACATTCTAGAAACAGGCCAGAGGAACGTTGTCGATCTGTAAGTAGAATTGCATCTCTGGCACATTTGATGTTCTGATCACAACAATTTCCTACTCTCCGCAGACGTCACACCGCGTTTTCCGGCGATCTGTGAGCTAAGCGAGTGAAATTCGATGTGTCAGGGTGGACACAGGACACAAGTGGGCATTTTTCAGGACGCGAAATCACTATCACACACAAAGCAATGGCAAGGTTGGTAAAAGAAAATGAACCGGGTAGCATCCTGCGCAAGTACTGAATCGTACTTACCTTATTTATCAATGTGATATGTACTCTATTAATTAATGGAATCGTCCGCATAATCGTAAATGAATGGAAATTCGCGAACAATTGATTAAACATTACAATATGAATTGTTCAAGGAAGATGCAACGAAACGCAAAATAAACCCCAATTTTAAGCATATTTCACCTAGTAAACTCTTGTCTGATGTCGGAGGGTAATAAGTACTCAAAATTGGTTTGAAAAAAAAAAAAACTTTCTATGCAAAAATTTACATTTCAAAAACTCATGAACTCTCCAGGAGCATGCACATAGCTTATTGGTTACGACAGAACTAAGTTCTTTAAAAAGAAAAATTAACACGTCACATTTTAATTGATTTTTGTATTCACAATTGGGTCTGTTTGAAACATTTGGTATCACTGATGTCTTCTTTGGTACGACTTTAAATTATCGCTGGTCTTTGCTTACAAAAGCTACACTTCTGATACACAACTGTATGTTGTACGGAAGCAGTTACTGATAGCAATACTTCTGTTATTCCGTATTTCTTAAAAAAACAAAACAAAACAAAAAAAACAACAAAAATACCACTGAAAGTCACCTTAGGGCTGCAGCTGTCTCATCAACGTTTCGTGAGTACACTTGAACGTTTGATCGAGATCTGTGATGAAAACAAAGGGAAAAAATGCGAGCGCGGATTAACATGCCTGTCTTGGGAGATAAATGCATGCCTCCGGCAGTGGTGGCTGCTCCTCGAGGTGGTAGGTTCGTGCCAGTCGCTAGTCGACCATTCATTACAAATTAACAATAGGTGCTTGTAAACGTGAAAGGAGCATTTAAATAATTATTTTTAAATAGTTGGAAGAGAAATATTGAATAGTTGCTTTAGAAAAACAATGTTTACTAATAAATTTAGTCTCTCGCATGACTTTTTATTTCCACAAGTTGGTGATACTTAATATTGTTTAATGTATAGGTTAACTTTCCTTCAATTCGAAATACGACAATTCCACTTCCTACATTGTATGTGGAATCGCCTTTATTGTGTTGCATGTCAGGAGCTCGTAAGTGACTGTTTCTAGAATTCAATATTTCACATCTCTTAAACTGCGCTTAGTCTATTAATATATTTCTGTAAATATAAGGTCTTTGAAAACCCCAGATATAATATTGGGTGCGCGATTCTATCTTATGCCTGTAGGTTGCACATTACATTTCAAAGGTGAAAAACCTATGTTGTGCAAAAATGTGTATACTCTACTCATCACAACACCCAACCAACCCAACTTCTTCTGGTTGACGGCTTTTCCTCGGATTCTCTTCAATAAGGATTCTTGATTCTCCGGAAAAACAAATTTATAATTGTAAAAAGTTCCGAAGGGAGGTAGAATCATATTATTCCTCATACATTTCTGTGAAATACTTTCAATTGTACTTCATTTTGCAACAATTGATTTGGCGTCTCAATTTGGCAAGAGTTAATCGCAAGAGAAACATCCATAACTACCCATTGTGACTTCTCGTGAAAATCGGTATTTGTTAAATATAAATGACAGATCCTCCGCTGAATAAATTAGATACTCGGGTACCCAGTTCATTTTATCCTCCATCTGTTAAAAACACTTATAAGAAATTGAGTAAAAGTATCAACCTATATTGATGTATCACTACATAAATTTAGGTTTATACTGTTTTATCAATTGAAGTTCTACTATGTATCAATATATTTCTGAACAGTGTAAACTTTCTTTTTCTCAACAGCATAAGGACAATCGTTTTACTGATGTTTAAACTCGAACTTATTTTCAAAATTAGTTAAATGCCCTGATGTATGAGCATGTAAATGTTATAAAGTGCATGCAAAAAATGGGTTATTTAACAAATACGCATCCTTTACTGGTAGGAAGGTTGGCTGCTTTGTAACGATGTTGAACGATGGAAAAATGTGATTGAAAAGTACAAGCACCAAAGAAACAAGGGTCTCCTTAGAAGACATTTTGGTTAAATAGATTCCAAAAGTGTCTCGATTACATTTTGCCGAGATAAGTTAAGCTTCGGGGTGTAAACAAATGGCATATGGAATTTTGTGAGTAATGGTGACCACGGACGTGCGAGATAGCATTTGCAGCTCGTAATATCACTTAATACTTGTCTACGAAAAGGGAGATGCCAAATATAGTTAGCCAAGCCCGAGCACATCATATGAGTATAGAAGGTTATTTTTCCCCTTTATATAAAGCTTAAATATTTATTAATTACTAGTATTGCATTCGCTTTGTGTTATTGCATGTTACGTTACTATTTAATTCTGTGTATTGTAAAGGCGGGGAAATCGTTGTTAGTCGGTGACGACTCGTGCACGTTTCTTAGGAGGAAATGAAGTCGGTTGCATGGAATACTTTAAATATAAAAAAAATGCCATGCGTCAACTGGTATGAGTGAGCTGTCGGTTCGCTTTGCTATTTCACTCGGGCTTCCGCTAACCGTACAAGGTCGCGATATGCGCCTGTGCCCTGACCCGCGCCTGTGCCCATGGGGAGTGAGACGCGGCGCACGTGGGGATGAAGAGAGACGTCCCCTTTCGCGGTGATCTACTCGTAGTTCGTCACTAGATGGCAGTTGAAGCGTGGGACCCCTCCCGTGACTCTAGGGCTGCATTAAAAAACGTTTACGCGTCTGGCAGCAGGAGCGCTGTGATATACGAACTATTACTGCAGGAAAAGGAAGAAAGGTTCGCGGTTCTCCTCGGAGCGATTTCGACTGTTTCCGCGAAGTTTAAAACTCGATCGAAATCAACTTACTCATAGCATCGCTAATGGCGCAATATGAAATAACCACGCAACTAGACATAGTGCAAAAAATATTACTAAAACCTGTCATTCCCCTTTCTCTTGCTATCTTGCACTAATATTCCCATTTCAATCCGAGTACACCTAATTCTCCCGTAGGCATTATACCACAACTTTAATGGCATTTCAATTGAAATACAGTAACAAAGATACTTCAATGATGCACTTGAAATTCATATAGACAATTTTTAAGGTATTAATTTCTTATAGCGGTCTTCCTATATTTCAGAATGTTGGTTGTCTTCTTGCACGGAGGCGACGTTGTGTGAAAAAAATCGTTACCGTTATAAGTATCATGGTGCATGTTTGAGAGCTGTACAACTGAGCAAAATATTTGTCACGTTTGATGTATTCCAGGTCCTGTACCACGCAGAGTTCGAGAAGGCGAAGGGGAAGTTCACACAGGTTGCCGATGATCCTGAAACACTCCGCATCAAACAGAATTCAAAGATAATCAGGTGCGTGCCCTAAATCCCATACAAATTATCTTTTTCCTCTGGCGGTTATTTCCTCTTCGTTTCAAATGGCAATATTTCGTCATTAACGAATACGCAGCAAGAACACGGTATGTGAAAACATCTTGGTGAAAGAAAACAAGCTTGGTGCAAAATATGTGTCAACACATTGTCAGCAAATGCAATACTCAGGGTACAAAATCAGATTGTATTATTGTGTATAAAAATACGTTAAATTTGCATTTTTAAATACAATTTTGAAGATAAATTCCACAAATATTTTAGATTGCTCTTATCAAGCCATTGCACGATTTCATTGCTTTAGTGAAGCAACATAAATTAATGAATTACTTTAAAACTAGTTGAATGTGGCCTCGCCGATGCGATTTTAAATGTATTTTCAATATGTTGAAAATTACTACTATGAAAGTTCTTAATAAAATGAAACTTTAAACATAATGTTGTTTGGTTTTATCATCTTTGGGCGTAGTAAGTAAAAAATTGACTAAATTAAAATTAAATAATTCAAAAAATTACAGAAAATATGTGGTTGCAACTCGTGTCGGATTTCTTTCGGGCTGTGGCCACTACATACCCCAGAATACGGTGTTGGAGAACGATCCGAATCATGATCCGAACGCTCCCAGAAGAGTTGCTCTGAAGAGAACATTCTCTGTGTATTGTCAAGCAGTTTGTTAAAGAAAATTTGTACATTTGCAAGATCCTATTCTGGAATAAATCGTTCCATTGTTTTGAATTAATATTTAAAAAAAGTTCGTAGTTGAATTTATGCGACAAAACTATCATGATCCAACGAAGTGGCAACGCTGATAATGGACCTTTTCTTTCGGAGTGGCCCAAGCGCGCTTTCGAGCGACTTGTGGCCTCCGTCGCCTGGGTGCCGTTTGTGGCGTGGGCCGCCTCATTGGCACTACATTTAACTGTCGTCACAGCTGCATTGTGAAACTCTGTGGGCGTTCTCTTGGGGTGGCGATGCGGTTTCGAACGAAAGGTTCAAAGGTCGACAGGCGAGGAAGAGCGCGGGGCTCTTTATTATCATCCATTTTTTTATACGCGTTTCGGGAATGTGCTGTTTCTATGAGTAATATCACGAAGCTTTGTTTCCATAAATTCTTAGTTTCCGGCATTGGTCTTGCAAATGAGTCACAGTACTTGATACTGTTATTCTCATGTTACAAAATACCCAACCTAATAGCTTCATATCGAAGGTATACTAAAATAGAAAATAATTCAGGTTATTTAGTAAAAAGTCTATGAAATGCATCTCATTAACTAAAGAACTTAATTCACAATTAACAGTTTTATTGCAATATTAGGGATAGCTGCCTTGTCATTATGTTCTCATAAGCAAATATTCATTTTTGATTTTTAAAATATTTTCGGTGTATATAACTGAATCATACAAAAACATTTTTAATGCGTTTAATTGCATAATTAAGTGGAACCATCTTGAATTTCAATAATTATTCTCTCAGGATTCCAGTTATGCCGGTAAGACGGTAATTATAGTAATTCACAGCGTTTCACCACTGCCGGTGCCTTGAAACACACAAAATTTAGATTTTTTCAGAATGTTCTAGAGGGATCCGGCCATAAACAATGCCAATCCATTCGCGTCGTTGGGATGAATAGAAAAAGCTTAAAACCTCTTAATATCGCATTTTAGGTGCCACTCTAAAAGTAAGTTTTTGATAATTCTCTTAGATTGATCTCATAGAGAATCCGATGTCTTCGGTTCCTCACCAGGTTACTATACAAGGGTATAAAATTACCGGTTGAGTTATCTCAAAACCAGCATTACCGTTGTTTCTGCCGCGAATCTGACTGAGAGGTTCTAATGTTCGTATAGAGACAGTGAATGATTTTCGACAATAGCATCACACTCGTACCTAGACGCAAGTGATCTCTGCTTCATCTTCCTTGTCATATCCTCTTCCCTTACACACACACACACACACACACACACACACACACACACACACACCGTGAGCTTAGATCTTCCGACTGAGGCGGGGAAAATATCTGAAGGGGGAAATTACCTGCAAACCTCCTTGTACGCCGGCACCTGTTCTTATCCAGCGGGAGAGGAACACCGCCACCTCCACTTCGCTAACGGCAGTAATGACCATTGCAATTGACGTGCCCGGAAACCACCAATTAAATTTAAAATTAAGTTGTTGCAATTCAATTCTGCAAATTGATCAAATAAATAAGAGCTGTTAATGTAAGGAACTATGTGGGGAACATTCATCTATCGGTAGATTGTTTTTGTTCCATTGCAGAGTTTTTGTCTACGTAATTTGGTGTATAATTCAGTTAATTCATTAAAAAGACTTTGTTTTGAGCAGAAACGTATTATTCCCTACCTTAAGCCATCTCAAACTTCCCTCAGAAAGGTATCAGGTGGTCGCATTTTTCTTTGGTAATGCATCTGAGATAAGAGTGAAGTTCTCTGTGCAATTTGAGATTAGTTTCATCAAAAATATTAGAGAGAAGTAAATATTAGTAGTAGTGGAGGACATGAAAAATTAGAGAGCTGGTCAGTCCTAAGATACAGTGATAGAAACGTGGCGTGGCTTTGTAGAAATTTAATGTTCGTAATTAGTGAAGGGGCTAGAGTTTTTTTTCTCACGGGAGAGGAGGCAAAAGGAGTTGGGAAATTCCCCTGTCCTAAATATTTTGAAGTACAATTTTTAATTGTTAGTATGAAATTTTAAAAATATTATTATTCACAGTGGGAATACTACTTTGGGTGCGACGCGATCAATAGGTGGTATTGTTTTTAATATATTGTGTAAAATTATTTTTAAAATGTTTGGCGGCGGATTCGCTCTCGTGTTCTGCCCAATCCGTCATTGATCAGCGAAATTATCAGCAAAAGGTACTTGTTCCGATCCATCGTCGCTGTATTTTCTTCCTGCTATACATTTGTTAAGAAACTCGGTAATGATCACAAATGCGGCTGATAACAAAACATTCAAAATACTGTATTTTAATGCTACGTTATTACTATGTGTCCATATAAACTAAATGAAATGCTGTAATGTACATACGCTCGTTATTTTGATTCAATCACTATAATCACAATAACTATGTACCATTGCATTGAATAACTGTCAATTTTACTCTCTCAGACCATTTGAATCAGTGGCCTTCAACCTTTAAACTGAAGTGCAATTTTGGTTTCTGTAGAACACTAGCGTGCCGCAGAGTTTTATTAATAACAAAGTAACATGGTTAACACATCATAATTATATTGCAACTTTTGGAATTATTTAACATTATGGGGCCTACTTTTGTATATATGTATGTACCCTAAAAATAAATAGAAACTAGTTGTGCTACAACAGATAATACATTCTCGTCTCACTGACAGTTACGTAAAATGATAATACCGCAATGTAGTACATTACAGCCATCACTTGTAAATCTCTTTACCGATCGTAGCGCATTAGGTGCGAAAACTTAAGCTAATTCATCAACACCATACATCAATCCAATACTCTTTTCCATTCACCCGGAAACACCGCGCAACGATAAGAAATTATTCTGCGAATGCCTTAGTGCCGTGTCACGGCGTTTCCATTGTTGCAGTGCAGCCTGGTAACTTCTGAAAGATTCTACCAACTTGCAAAATTCCTCTAATCTTCTCATATTATACATGTATACGTGGTCTTTTAAAAAAAATATTGATTTTTACGACAGATTTTTCATTTAGCAAAAAAATCTTTCACTAATTGTATTTTTTCTAAAATAGTGCTAGCCGAAAATGGGACCTGCACCACTTTTTTTCAGTTCTTTACACATACGTGGAAAAAATTAAAGAAAAAATTGAGCCATTTTAAGAAAACTTTTTTAAATATAAATTGCATTATCGGAAAGCAGAAATTGCGCAAATACTAATATTAAAAAATTGTATGTGTCGTTTTTTTAAAGAACTAATTTTTTAAAACAAATTTCAATTATGATCACAATCTCTAAAATTGCAAAACAATAACACTACAAAAGTAAAACAATAAAGTAATTTGCAGTTTTATTATTTTCGAATTTCGAACAAATTCGCCGGAAATGTGATTAGCAACAATTTCTTTATCGTATTTTTAAAGAAATTTGACTTTTTTTTAAAAGAAAAGTGTAAATTGCGTAGATTTCTCGCAAAATTACGCGAGAACGATTAATTTTCAAGAAAATGTACTTTACCTTGTTTAACTGTTATTAAAGAACACATTTCATTAAAGGAAAATCTCTCTCTTTAATATTGTAGGAAGACTGATGCAATCTTCGAAAAATTAGTTTTCAACTAAAATGAGACCTGCAGCATTCTCTTAAACGCCCTTCACACTATCCATCAACAAAATTGAATCGACTAGTGGTGCTGAAACAGCACGTATTTTCTCGCACATAGTAACTGATACTTGGCATAATACTGCAATTGCTGTCCATTAACACCATCTCGGTCATCACTTACATTACTCATTACAAAACGTATAACAAAAGGTACGAAAACTAATTATTTTAAAGCTCATGTATCAGAACATAATTGAAAATTAAATGTGTATTTTTAGCTTTAAAAAATTGGATCCGACAGTAGCAGTCGCTGCGGTCTAAAATATGTTGCGAACAGAACGGCGTTGTCATAGCATTGAATTGCAACTAATTAATAATTATATATTAAAGTAACGTATGATTCTAAATATTGAATATCCTGTAGTTAACTAAGACTAAATAATTACTAGAACCCGGAACTTCATGCACTGGATAAGTTAAAAATATGCATGCAACCATGCACTTAAAGTTAGATTTATATGGATTTAAGAAGTCCATACATGTGCTTAAAATTGAGAATATGCGTTAAACAAAAATATAGGTAGCAACAGATAACATTATTTACATATTCTTCATTTTACATTGTAGAAAAGATAAATAAATAAATTACGTTAGTTACAGAATAAAGTAACAGGAAGTAAATCGATTCAAGCAAAAATAATCTTATTGGAAATTCGGATCAATTTTATGAATGTAACAGTCATATTACAAGACTATTGGTATTGTAGCATTGTAGTTAATGATTACGTGCAACAATGAGAAGGGATTTTCAGAGTATATAATTGCGTCCATGCGCCTCGCAAACTACTTTTACAGATTGACTCCTTGCGAAAAATTAAACATTTTTTGAAGATGTTTTTAATGAGCACATCTTTTTTTAAAAAAAAATCTTCATAACTAGTTGTAGGAAGACCCCAAATTTTTTTTTTTTTCAATTTTCGAAAAATCCGAGTTTTAACGAAAATGAGACCTGCATCGTGCTCTTAAACGTCCTTCAGACTATCCAATAACAAACATTAATCTAAATCGATGGTGTCATTAGTTTGAAAAGTCCAAGGAGTTTTATGTAAGTAACTCCCCCTAAAGAAATTAAAATATCGGTTTCAAATTAAAGGGGCCGTGACATCAGCCAGATCGAATATGGAATATCAATTTTGGAAAAAATCAACTGAACGTTTTAGCCTTTGCCGTTTGCGTTGTTCACGGACGAGCGAACGTTTTGCAGACATTGGATTTTTCGGTATCAAGGACCCACAAAACATGAAGTCTGGCTACACCACGTGTTAGAGGATTCTTTTTTCTTCCAAATTTAGGAACTGGATTTATCCCCTTTTTCGTTACCAGAGCCCTAAATAATTTTTCTGCCGAAAATTCGCATTTTTCGCGTAGTATTACATAACTTTCTCTCTACTCCGTAGCGAAAAAGTAAAATGTATAGACCTAATTTTTTCCGTGCACGATGTATATTTATAAGTTTTCCGTATATAGTGACGTAGTTTTATCTAGCGTATTTAGATTTTTGTGATTTTTAAATAACATCAAAATTCATGAGTATTGTGCGTATTTTCAGAAACAGACGAATTTCGTTGCTGCTTAGATTATTGATCTCCACATTCTAAAATTTTCGGAAGTTTCCAAGGAAACTAACCACGCACTGTATCTTCCTAAATGAAAAACCGCATTGAAAATATATTGTTCTATGCCAGTTGGAATTGAACAATAAGCGTTCGCGTTTCGACGGGAAGTGAAATAGCCGGAGAAGGCGTCTGCGTGCCCGCCGAACAGACAGGTACACGGTTGAATAGGTTCCACGGTGCCGCGATTGCGTTTACCAAGTGCTCGGACATTGTCTGTATCCTGCGATCTAACTGGAAATTCCCGTGAAGGGAGTTTGCGGAGACGACAGTCTACGCAGAGGAGTTTAAATGTTCAGGCGTAGAAAGCATAAACTGGTGAAATTAAACATTTCTTTCTTTAAAATTTAAATTGACCGTTTAATATACTTACATCTTGTGTCGGTGAAAGGTAATTTTTGACTCTAAAAAACAAACATTTTTTTTCCTACATTCATCTAACAAAAAATGGAAAAGTAGTTAATTTCCGCCGCTGCAAAATACGCTGCCACAAAAATGAGTAAAACGCTGTAATTTGATGGACAGATCCAAAGGTCGCAAAGGCGCGGTGCAGTAGCAATCGTGGTGCGTGGGAGTCGCGGGTTCGAGTCCCACTTAGACACAGGTGTTTACTTGTGTGTTGTGGCATGCTTGGCTCTCCCAATTGCTGTGTATCACTTTTCCAACAATATCCTTCGTTTCTTATCCTTCCAGATAGTAGAGGTGTATGTACGTGAGAAATGTATGCCTAGCTCTTGGGCCTCGCCATTCCGAATTCTCCTTTTGTTCTGGCATGATGGGACAGACCCAACGACCATGCCTCACCCTTAGACACCTAGATCCTTCCCTTCCAGGGAGATAGATGCATACTATCAATATTGACCAGCTTTCCTGAGGTGGACTTGTCTTTGGTAACTTCTTTTAATCACAAAAGGAAAGATAGATGCAGATGGGCCTACTTCCAAAAGCTTGTGGGGGGTGGGTCTTGAACCAACTCTGAGTAGAATGGATAATGTAAAGGAAGGGCACGTGACCATTGTCCCAAGAACCTGTGTACTAGACTTGCAAGGTTGTATACAGTCGGGTAAGCTGGTATGGCCTGAACCAAAAATATGTGCATAAAACACTTGTTTAATTTCATTAATTTATTCTTAACAATGTGCGTTTCCATATCCTTAATCATGCAACAGTTTAGAAGCACAAGCTGGTGTACATATTTTAGGACTTGATAGTCCATGAAAATCCTGTTATCAAGCATGATGATAATAATATCAAAATTTTACATGTTGGTAACATGATTGCTACCTTATAAGCAAACTTTGTAAATTCATATTAAAGTATTCTTAATGCATCTCTATAAATCCGGACATTGTCACTTCAAAATGAACATCAACATTACAAAAGTAATTTATTAATCAGTTATTGATGGAGCCACATTTCAAAATCAATTGTTAAGTGTAAACAATCATAAAGACTCGAAAATCAGTCAATTACTAATAAGCCATAATAATAATGAGCATTTAATTCTATAATTTTGTTACTTTCAGCAATGTCGCGTACCATGGTGAATTGGAGAAGAAAGCTGCAATGGAGAAACAGAGGTTGATGAAAGGTGAGAATGGAGAGAAAGCAAATTCAGATGATGGAGAAGATCCTGCTGGTCGACACCTCTATCAATGTAAGTTTTAGGGTCTGTAAAATGTTCTCCTTGAAAATTTGTGTTTTATTACTGCCATTTCATTACAGAATATAGGTTGTAAGGTATTGTTTGGTTGAATTTATTGATTGACCGACCAATGGATTGATGTAACTTCACACACACTCTCATACTTTTTAAGCCCTTAAGTGAGCGTTCATCTTTCTGTTCAAATTAAAATGCAAAATTCTGTAAAATCATCCTTTCACATGATATGATACGACTTCATATTAACAATTGACAGCCAGTCCAAATTTGCTTGTTGTCAATTTACACATTGTGTCATGTTACAATTTTAAGATTACATTGGGCACTTCAAAATGTTTCATTCCTGACAATTAATTTTATAATCTGAATAATTTATTAAGTAGATTCTATGTGGTTTTAGCTTGTATTTTTTATTGTTTTTTCAAAATTAGTAACTGCTGCATTTTATAACTTCTGGAACGATGTTTCATGATGGAAAGTTGATTCTAAAACTACTTTTCATACTGATTTCAAATCTGACTTTAGTTTTTCTGTACCACGTAAGGTTTTAGCACAATTTGCATTTGAAATTGTAACTAAAATCACATTGGTTCACAAGGAACATTACATCACAAGGAAAATTACATTTTTCTTCAAAAATTAATTCAGTGTATGTTAACCTTGCATTGAATTAAAATGTAATGCATTAGTGGACAATGGTATTTACATAATTAAAAATGCTAATTATTATGAAAGTTGAAATATTACAAATACAAAAGAAGTAAGTATAGATAATTTAATTTCTTTTTTAAATTAATTCACTTTAAGACCTTCAGACCTGATGCGTAACTTCTGTCTTGATAGTCTCCCTTCACTACCCTTCACTCTGGCTCTTTGGCATAAAACAGTAATTGGCCATCATGATTCCACCTCCCCTGATAACTATTTCCATGTATTTGACGTAATGGTGAATAAGTTTTCATTGTTCACTAACATTGCTTATGTTTGCAAAAAAAAGATTAAGATTAAGAATGTAGCAAATGAAGTTTTACTTTCATGTTGCATCCTAATTCCAAGAAATTCTGCAACAGTGTTTTAACAATGGTTTTGTTGTTTACAACTTTGTTGCTACCCACAAACTTAGCCACAACTTGTGTAAACAAAACATAAGTCCTTTTCCCCACTGGATTCATTGTACTATCAAGCAATTGTCTTTCAATAAGTATCTAATCTGCGGTCTCACAAAGATTCCTCCTTTAAGTTTTTCATAAGTTACTTTCGGAAATCAAGCTAACAAGTACAGAAAGTAGTCGCCATCTTTTGAAAGTTCTTTAGTTAATGGTTTCTTTAAACCAAGCTTGATGTGAAGTGGAGGTAGAATCTTACTTGATTGAAGAATCATTGAACCTTCATTGATTATGTTACGTTCTTTGAGCTGGGATGGAGTATAATAGTTTTAAGCCAATCTGTTATCTTCCAGTGCTTCTCGTTGGCTCTGCTGTCCTATTCACAAATGAAACATTGAATTTTTATGTACCCAGTTTGTTGAGCAAATCACACTTAATCTAGTTTTAAATCCTCGCCAATTGTCAAAGAAAGTTTTTCATTATCACAAATTTCAGCAAGCTTCGATATTTTCTTAAGATTTCTTACTGTACTGAATGGGCAACAGGTATTGAGCCAAACAAATTTCCATTATGTAAAGTACACCTTTGAGGCTACATGTTGGCAAGTCTACAAACAACATCCATTGCCTAGCATCATAAGTGGCATTAAAAAAATTCTTAAAATCCTTAATAGCACTACTACAAGTCATACTGCCTTCCTCTTTAAAGAATTTTATTCATTCCTTTTCTCTGTTTCTGTACCAAGAGAACATTACTCCATGTGGTAGATGATTTTTTTGTTTTTACCCTTGACCCTACCAAATCACGAGTGAAATCATTAAGTTAATTTCGACTGAATAATGTTGGTATTATATCTTCTTCTGACTTGTAATAATTAGCATCATCACTTTTATTTGCTGAGCTGCTCTCAGTAACCTGTGGCGCATCTTCAAGAATAGTAGGTGGAATTATAACTGGGAGAGATTTGGTTTGTGGAACTGCTTGTAAGGCAGAAGGAATGTTAGGATATTCTACTTCTTCCTTTCTTTTTGCATTATGATCTTCAACATTAACCATTCAAAAAAAAAAAAAAATTGAGTACATATTTTGTGGGTCTCTCCTAACCATTGAAATTGCAAAAGGCATTGATTTTTCATATCATTTTTCCACAGTCTGAATCTCAAGACACGTATGGCATGACACGGTGCCCAGCTTTTGTCTTAAATGCCTAGCCTGAGGCCAAAATATGCATAATATACATTATTGATGAATACATTCCTTGATGACATGCCTTCAATAAAAGTATTCCAGTATTTCCCACAACATTCAAAATATTTCTTTGCAAAAGAGTACAAAAGTTTCTAAATACTGAATTGTAGAAAGTTGTTTCTAAACTGATAAAATGACATTTGTTATGATGAAACATAGGTTATATGTTTGTGTACCTAATTACAATATTAGTCAAATTGAATTAAGGGGGAAAAAGTGTCTTAAGTGTTTTTTTCTCTCTTTATTTCTATTTTTACTTTTTGCAAATGCATCTTTGAGATGTTACAAAAATTTGCAATATTTTGTATGATTTAAGTTTCAATTTATGTTCGTGTTTTTGTATTGACTCAAATTATAAGGTGAAGAATTGAGGTGATAATGATTTATTTAATTTCTGGATATAATTAGGATTGTTACAGTTCTGCGTATTCATCAATCAGAATTGTCACCTAAATTTCTGTTCCTATGTAGACAAATTCATTCATATAATCTAAAATTACCATCCTATAGCTTTCTCTTGCAGAGATCATTTACATTTTTCTTATTCCACAGGAATTTTTTTCCATTATACTGATGGTATTAGTGGGCAATCTGACAATTCTTTCAAATACTGTGTGGGTCGTAATATATTAGATATATCATGATATGTGTGTGTGTGTATTTGGAGGTGAGCAATGTTTCGTAGTTACTAAGATTTGTGACTGGGTGGGTGTGCGTGGTGTATGTGGGTGTGTGCATTCATGCATGTGTGGATTCGTATGTGTGGCTGTGGGTTTCATGGTATTTTTATTTGTGTAATATTTGTTTGTCTTTCCCTTTGTGTATTGAAATAACATGTTTTAGATTAGATTCAACCTATTATTTGTGTACACTATAGTGCTTTTGAGACTGCATATGTTTTCCCTACTGAGTTTGCTTTGCTTTTGTCTGATAGTATAGTAATTCTAAAATTTAAACACTTTTATGTGTAAGTTGATAGTAGATTTGTTGATTTGTAGAAAGAAACTTAGTTGACAAGAAGTAATGATACAATCTAAAATTAGTCATTTGTTTTAAAGTACTAGATAAAATTAGTTCCACATCTGCATTCATTTCTACCATTTATTACTTTGTTTAAAAAAAAAAAAATAAGACATCTCCTTTAATATACTGCAGAACAGTTCTTCAATTTGAAAAAGATATTAATATTGAAACTATTTATTGATGAGTTCTAACAAAAATGGTCAACTTTGAAGAATTGATGACAAACTTTTTCTTTTCTTTTCTTTCTTTGGTATTGTTTGTACATACATGTTTCAGCCATGGCATATGATTTCGTGGAAGAAAATTTCTTTAATTGTTAAATTTGATGTCAATGCAATCTCGAAAGGCACTTTTTTTGTTGAAACACTGCATTAGGTGTTTTCAAAATTTCCTGTTTTGTAATAAGTTTTATTATAGTCAGTGTGGGTGTGTACATGTTGCTTGAATCTGGTGAATAACAAGAAACTTTACCATCCTACCATAGTGGAGGACCTCCTTCCTCCATCCAACCACCACCATGTACCAGCAGCAGCGCCACCCCCTCAGCAGCAGCCGCCGCCTCCATCAACAGCAGCTCCTAATGTGCCAATGATGTATTCCCAAGTCCCGGTGCATCAGCCGGGTAAAATATCAGACTACGACCCTCTTTCGGATCAGCCCAGGAATTCCCCGTACAGTGCGCGTCAAAGTGCAACATTGATCTACACCTCTGATCGTGGTCCAGGTAGTAAACCTGTTGGAGGTGTTTCCATTTGCATAGCATGAATAACATGTGCATGTGCCACAAACTCTAAATCTGTTAATGCTTTTGGTTGCGGGTTCCTTATAGTTGATCAAATCAGTAATGACGACTACTACTACTACTACTACTTCTACAGTAGTAGTACTGCAACCACCACCACCACTACTATTACTTGAAATTATTTTCGAAGGAAAACAAATTTTTAGTTTACCAGTCGGCATAATCTAATTACAATATGCAGATATTCTCTATTTTGGTATTGTATTATATTGAACTCTGAATTAGAGTCAGTCCAAATTATTGCACTTCATATTTTGCTTCTCAAACTTCAGTTAATCAAGAGAGTATAATTACATGGGTGTCCTTTAATTATCATAGTAAAACTATTGTGTAGACTGTGAAATTGCGTGTGTGGATTGCATAAAAATAGTTCCTTATCAAATAGATTCGGGGCTAATATAATTCATAATTGGGTCTATTTGCTGTTAAGTTTTGAAATAGTTATGGAAAAATGATTTGAGGCTGTTCAGGAAATTCAGTAATCACTCTTGACAATATTCACTTCTTAGATATATAGTATTTTCCATTGGTTTTAAGTTGTGAATCAAACAACTTGAGAGCCTTGCTTATGATGACGTAGGGTGGTGAAAAGTTCTGATAAATTAAAATTATTATAGGTTTCAGGAAATTGTTTGATTAGAAAAGAATACTAGATTTATTTTAACATCAAATATATGCAAGTCAGTATAATGCTATCCAGTGCAGAAGAAGCATTAATTAGCTTCCATTAACACTTTTGTACTAATTTCAATATAATTTCTTAATGTGTTCTAAAATCATTGTCATTAAATGTATTCTACAAGTTATAGCCCTAAAAAGTCTTCAAAGTAAAAAGGCAGAATATTAGTGGTTAAAAATATGTATATGTTATTAATGGCAAAAGAAGTGTAATGACGAATGTCTTCTGCAAAAATATCAGAAATTCAAACTATTTTTTTATTAATTCATCCAAGATTGCAAGTAGACCTTTTCAGTTTGGGATAGTAGTTCGCTAGCCGTTCTGGACCCCTATGTTCTCACCTTAAGTTATCTTTCAAATCTAACATGGCTTGCCTTGTCACCAATATTGTAATTAGCAATATTGCATGTTTACTTTACCAAGAATCCCAGATTGCTGTCCTTGAACTTTTTGCTTTCTTCTCTTAATTTGTAAATCATGTTTTTTCCTTCTTTTTGTATGTGTTTCTTGTGCATGAAAATGGTAATTCATAAAATACATTGTTTAATTAATAAGTAATTAATAAATATATTTGTAATCCTGTGTGTTATGACTTATGGCTTGGATGGTTTTCAGTTTTAGCAAATGCAAAAGAAAGAAATCTTCAGGGTTTAGATTTAAATTTTAAAATTATTTTGTATTATTATTTTTTTTTCTTTTCCTTTTTTTCTAGTCTTCTTATTAACAGAAGTTTTTAAAATTTATAATACAGTTTTTGTAGTGATATTGATAATTATGTGAAGGATAGCCAAAGGCATTGCACCTGAAGTTTTATGAACCAAAATTTTCTTGAAGTTCATTCATGTGTTTTTCTTTGCTTAATATAATTGTTTATATTGTGAAGATATCGAACCTTTAGTTTTCAATATTTTATCTATTAATAATCTTCTTCTTTTCGTGTTTTCCTGCAGTTGTAAGAGATTTGTTACTTTTGATGGTAGTTGGTATTGTACAATTATCACTCGATTCACTTCTAATATTAGTTTTTCCTAGGATTTGGCTTCTTGCTTTCTGCTTATTTTTTAAATTTGTGCCCAGCTTTAATTGTGGTAATGCATAACTATTTCTTATGTGCCCCAGTTTAAGAATCCACAGTGTCTGTGAAACTAGAAGAATTTTGGTAAATTTTAGCAAATCATTATAAAAATGAATGGATTGGGTGTTGTTTCAAATTATCAGAGAACACCATTGAATTACATACATAAAAATTGAAAGAAGTGACATACAAAGGCCATAACAAAAATGAAATTTTTCTCTGCTAGGTTAATAATGTTAATTTCTCATTAAAAAATTGTATCACTCTTAATTTATTCAAATAAGAGATTTAATCATCACAAGATGTCCTGATGATACAGGGAATATTCTCACTTCAGGATGGCCACTCTGGAAAACTTGGAAAACCAGGAAAATCAGGGAATTTCATTGCTTTGGAAAAATCAGGGAATTCCTAAAAAGAATCATTTGAAGTCTGGGAAGATTCTGAGAGGGTTATAAAACTGGGTATTATTTCTTAAAAACGGTAATGCATCATTACTCTTTGCTACATTCTTATTTGTTGAGAAAATATTGTTAATTTGTAGTGTCTACTTGCAGCAAAATTGGAGCTGTTCAATTAGTAACAAGTTGCCTTCAATATTTTTTTTAGTTTGAAATAACAAATTTAATTGGGCAAAATAAAAATCTAATCAACTAGGAAACGGGGAGTAGTCAGATATGCTCCAGGAATGAATGACCACCCTGGACTTGCTTCTTTATATTATATATATAATTAATGTTAACAAAAAATGTTTGTGACACCTGTGTGATGATTCAAAAATTGTTTCTGTAGTACTTCCAAAGTATATGCTTTTAAATAGTTAATGTGGTGAACTTGTACTTCTGTGCATTCTGGGTTTGTGTGTGTGCGCGGGCCTGTTTTGCTTTCTTTTTTCTTTCTACTTGTTTTTTTCCACCTGCTTACCTCTAATATTCAGTTTTCAAATTTGTAAGTGAATGTGGATTTTTACACTTGTACTCTAGGGGCACAGGGCACTATGTCTGTTTTCAACCAAAGCAGGTTATCTCAACACTTATGCCAATTTCATTTTTCTTCCTGAAGGTATTGAGAACTGTGCCCAAAATGCATTAATAACAACGTTAAGAGGGCAAATGAAAGCCATGTTCATTTACTTGTGTATAGAAATACACTATCTTGAAACTGTTCTGTAAAATTAAGCAAATGTGACATAATTCCCATTACCTCCAAAGTACTAATATGAGAATTGAATGCTACAACAAATTCTTAAAAGATGTAGTGACAAAATGCCTGTTCAGATTTATAACAATGCTTCTGTTCAAATAATGTACTCTTCTCAACCCTTCTTGAGATTAAAGAACACTGCATTTTCACATTTTCAGTCTTTAGTAACATCTCTATAACTTATACTATACTGTAAATTTTAAAAATAATCTTTTGTTACTATTATCTTAAAATTGTAGCTTTTAAAGTTTTTCGGTATTTGCTATCCCAAAGAAACTAGCTTTTATGATAATAAAGTATTTCATATGCAATTTTATTCAGAATTTTACATTCCTAAAAACAACTTGTGTTCTAAGAATAATACAGTATATTTGAGCCCTACGGTTCAACTCGTGTAGTTCATAAAACAATTTAAGTTCCTGTTAAGCAAACCTGTGTGAACATACAGGACGTTTTACTGACTTGAGGAAAGGTTAATATGAAAAATGTGAATTTTTCATTACAGGTGGCAAAGAAAGTGACTAATACTTACGTCAAATTGTATTAAATAATAAATTATTTCGATAACATAATTATTAACTCATGAATGATATAATTTAATATCATGCGGGATGTATTCATAAAAAAACAAAACAATCGGTGCATTTTCTCTTCTGCTTTTTACTTTCTCACCTATTACCGTAAAAAACGTTAAAAACAGTCCTGAAGGTGCCGAGCATCATGGTCGTTGTAACAAATTGTTGTTATAGATGTTTATATAAGTTTGCCACATATTGCAACTTTGCACCCTTAAAATAAAATGAAATTAGAGAATGATGACGATTAGAACCAAAGATACATTAGTTTAAAAAAATTAAAATCAATTATTATTAAATTGTATCTTCTTTTCAATGTTTCAATACACTAATGCAATAGTTGCAACAACTAATACACCACTAGCCTTTCTCAAGAGTTCAGCAGTGTTCTATGCTTTGGGGGTGCCTCTTATTCTGTAGGAGCAGTACCTACAACAATTCTTCTTACAGATGAGTGGGTATGGGAAGAAAGAACATGTTATTTACAATACGTCATTGTAACTGATACAGTTTCTTGATCAGTCGAAACAAAAGATATCGGACATTGCTGAAAGCATTGCATTGTTAAAACAATATAATAACTGGCTTTCAGTTGAGGTAAGTAGAAGGAATTTGGCCAGAACCTAACATCTTAGCCAATGTACATGGCATGACATACAAACCGAAGCTATAACAGTTTTGACTGTACATGTTTCCATAGTAAAGAGAGAGTATTGTAATACTGCAGCAGAAAACTGCAATTTCCCTATAGAAAAACTTGTATAATGAGGTCTCATGTTGTATAGTCAGAATCCTAGTTTTGGTTGGCCTTGATACTGAAAATTTGATTTATGATGAAGTCCAAGGGAGAAAAAACCAATGGCGTATAAACTGCAGCATCCAAATGTTGGTCTTAGATAGTTCTAAGGAATTTCACAGGAAAAAGAAAAAAAAGAAAAGAAAGAAGAGGAACATGTTGACTAGTACTAAAGCATATTTTAATCATTATATTAGGTAAACCATAATGTATAAATGTCAGTGTCCCTTTAGTTATAAACTGTATATCAGGATATCAAACTGTAGTGCAGGTGTTCTGATGTGCATTTCTATAGTTTTCCCAAAGTTATCCATTTTAAAAGTCCCTTATTATTCTTTCATCACGTTTCTCCGTACAAGGTGTTGCTCTAGCAGATTTTCTTGTAATAATTAGGATACTAGCCGATGAAATAAGCTCATGCAAGTGCATTCTGACAGTAAATTTCCTAAGTTTGTTAGGTGATGTTTTAATCCATTAAGGATCAAATATTGTAATAATAATATTATGTATTTACTAAATTTTATGTAAATATTGCACTAGAAAAGATAACAAACTAATTTATAGTTTTTTCAATCGAATAGTTAATGTACAACAAAATGTTGCTTATACACAACTTTGGGGCAATAGGGTATATGTATTCATTTTGACAGATGACTGAAAACAGTTTGAATGGAGATGAACCTTGCATTTTTTTACATTTGTAAATTGTGGTGCTTTTGTGCAATCTGTTCCTCCTCCTAGCTTTGGTTTCTCCCTTAATAATCATGTATTCTACATGGTTTGATTGACTGAAGGTTCCAGGCATGTCAACTACAAAGTTGATTAGTTCTGTAAGTGTAGTGAATGTTTTTGATCACAGGAGGTGGCGTTGAACTTCCCGTTGGATTGCAAGATCCGACGACAACCTATCTGTTAGCTTGTAGGGTGTTTCCTCAACCAGGTGTATCCAACTAGTAAGGCACTCTCAGCTGGAATCGGATCTAAGCTCTTGATCGGTCTCTCTGCCAGTGTGGTGGTATAGTGCAAGTACGTGTAAATGAGTGCAAGTAATGGGTCAGGACGGGACAAGGATGAGGAAGTCATGATCATGGTCCATGGCCCATTTATTAGGTTACTGATCTGGCATTTGCCTGGTGTTTGATCAGAGAAACCAAGGAAAATCACTTGGAGCAGCCAGCTACAAGAATTTTTCTCCAGATGGCTGCTGAACTCGACCTAGCTGTGCAGCTCAAGTCAAAAATTCTGCCATTGTCAAGACTCAAACATTAGGACCTCCCGGTCGGAGGCACTGGAGTGACACAAATTGATCCCCTGAGCCACCTACATCAGTATCCGTACTTCATCATAACATACTACTTTAGGTGGGAAAGTGTTTGTGGGTCGACCAAAATGGAATTTTTTAGTCTCCTGTGTATTCATTGGTTCGTTTTTGCATTGACTTCCTTTTGCATAGTCTTCAGATTTCATTATAGTCATGGCATAATGGTCATGGTTCATCATAGTCAAGAGCAAAATTACAGTTGTGACTTCTTTTCTTCTTTTGTAATATTATAAATTTTCCATGTCAGCAATTGCACAATCAATCAGTTTTTGTTCCACTTCTTTTTCTCCCAAAAGATCATATATTTTCCTTGTCTGTCATTTCAACATTAGAAGGAATGTGCACAGCATCAATCATATTTGCAGTAATAAAGTCAACATTTTCCTCCAATACTGAAATTAGTTCAGCAGTTGAAAGAGGCCTTAATTTTCATTCCCCAAGTAAGAATTTTTATCGGAGATAAAGTATTACTCTTGAAGTATTGTTTATACAATGATGCAACATTACAGAATAAGACACTATATCCAAGATGAGATAATTATCTAAGGAACAGAAATATGAAACAATAGTTAAATGTCTGTTCCTCAAAGATTACATTCCACGTGTTGAATAAATTCTGTGATGGTGGCAGATATCTTGTTGTAATCCATAATATGGTAAAGAAATAATCTCCACAAAAGTTTTAATACTTTTTATTAATAATTTTCCAGAGTTGACTTTTGGGAAAACACTTTTCCCATCCTCAGTGGATCTGTAGCAAAATGGAGAAATAAAAACATTAACACAAGTTGAACACAAAAAAAGGGGGGGTGTACAGTGAATTTAGTGGAAAAACAAACAAATAATATATAAAATACAAATGGAAATTACTGCTCAAGCAACGTGGATCTTCCATGAATGTTCACAACATGGTCAAAAAGTGTGAAAACAGCAAAACATGCTGGTACAGCTAGGTGGTAGCCATCTTTTGGAATGGGAGAAAAAACATGGGAGGCCATTGCGAAGGTGCCGACGTTTCGGTCGCCATTCTGCGACCTTCCTCAGGGCGTAATGCTCGTCGCAAACACTGCATATTCGTAATCCATCCAAGGTTTGCAATGGAGTGGAGTAGGTAGTCCAGGGCTCTAAAAAACGTTAGTGTATATATACATATAGTACATAATATACATATAGTACATAGTATAGTGTAATAATACATAGGACAGATGTGCCCTCAAGTAAATGTTCTAGATTCAGTCGGGTCAGTTGTTCTTCTACCAGCCCTTCTTCGCCCAGCTCTAGTCAAACAACTGGCTTCTCCTGCTCAATGGCAGCAGGAAAATTGCGCAAATTTTCATCGAGAGATAGCGGTGACTAAGGCGCACGCTTTGAGCTGCGTCATCGGACGTCGCTTGTCAAAGCGCCATTCGCAATTCCATTACAAAAAGACTTTACTGAAAGAAACGAGAACCAACAGCTTTTGTTTTGTCTTACTGTTGTAATCACATTCCATAAAGTTTTTTGCACGTAAATGACCATTGCTTTCCTTTCATTGTGATAAAGTGCAGAGCTGTTCAGTCGATTCTTCTAATACTTTTGGAATCTCTTAAACGAAACTTGCCTATAAAGTTGCAATTATAAATTTATTCATTTTGAATAAGTATTGCTTTTGTCTGCAAGTTATCAACAGTGAAGAGTAATTCTCCGTATTTCACTGTCGCAACTAATAAAAGTTCAGTAGATTCATAAAAATAAGTTAAAAAAGTCAACAATAGGATAGCAAGCATCAGAAATGACTATAACTGAAGAGATAAATAAAACTCTCATTGTATTGTACATACAACCTGTGCTGGAAAGTGGAGGAAAATGCTTGCTTCAGTAAGATATAGGAGACACTGTTCAAAGCAGATTCTAGCTCATGCCTTAAAGAAAACATGGTTTTGGCACTATCACTTAGTGAAAAGCAGCAATACTTTTGCCCCATATGTGCCTGCAATTCATGCATTTGGCCCAAGACGCCTTACCCGAGTGGTTGGAAAGATAAATCGAATGCTCTGTATGTTATTACAGATAACAATGTTTAAAACTTCTCTACTTTTAGATCTTTTAACTCCTTCCTCACACTTCAATAACCTCTGCTTTATCCTAGTTATCATTACTTAAACAATGTGTGCAAAAGGCAATGTGGGAAGATTTAATAAAAGGCAAAAACAAAAACAATGATAAAAGAAAACCCAAGCTGCTTTACGCACTCAAAATCCTGCAAAATCAGCAAGGAACACACACCCGAAGACTTTCTGAAACAGACAGGCTTACCACTTTTTATAAACTTTTAAAATCAAGGTTTTCATCCTTGCTTTTCAGTTTTTACAACCCAAAAATGTTATCTGTATAACAATTCACTGAATCCTACAGCACGAGACATTTTTATTAAAGAATTGCAATTTTCCAAAAATACAAAAGTGTATGTGATATTTTCTTCCTTGTGAGTAAAGAAACGTTACCCGGAAGTACACTATTTTTTCCCTGCAAAAGCAACAATTTTTATATACTTTTATATGCATTTTTGCGTTTCAAATATCTTTTTAAATGATTTTTTAATCCATTTCTCCTTTTTGCCTAATCAAAGTAAACCATGTCATCTGGAAACTACTTCAACACTATTAAAATTGTAATTGATAGAAACAATTGCTTACAAGAATTTCATAAGATTTTTTAAAGTACGTCTGCATAAAAGAAAAGAATAACAAAACGGATTTCATGAGTAATGTGTAGGAGGAGACAAAATAATTATTGTTGTTTTATATTGATTTGATAAAAAAATTCATTGTAATTATAACAAGAGTTTACTTCCATATTGAGAGACTTTAATTATAGTTATGTGCATAAGTCGTAAAATGGAGATTAATTATATTAAAATAGAAAAGTTGGTATTAGAACAAAAAGGAAAAAATTAAAGTATGATGCAAGTTTTTGTATATTTTATTTGATGTGTTCTAAACATGTTCATTTTAATATGCGTGCAATTTGCTTAGGAAGCAATGGAGTTAAACCATTCTTGAATAAAATTTGGTATTCTTTTGCATTGACACTGGAGTGAAAAATGTGTTAACAATGATTCATGGTATGTGTTAACAATGTTTAATGGGAAATCAAACCAAGAGAAATATGAATAGGGGGACTTGCATAACAGCATTGCAAACAATATTTCTAGCGCACAGTTCAAAACTTACATGCATGAGTAGTGCATTTTAAAGTTTTAAATATCTTTTCCTGAACTTATTGGAATATTGAAAATTCTTGCTCCTTCTTGGAAGGTTGCTCCTGTGTATTATAGTGGTGGTAATGAAATAGTTTCCAGAAATCATATATATTGTTGCATGTGTAGTGTTGTACTTGTAGATTTGTAATAATTGTTGTTGTAGAATGTAATAATTTATATTCAAGAGGTCTGCTAATGACCTCAAATAAGAATTGGCCTATTTGGAAACAGAATAGGCGCTTGTGCTGCAAATAACCTCATTCACTTGCTTGTTACTAACCTACAGTGAAAAATAACTATAAACTGAGAGATACTATAACATATCCATTAATGCACTAGTGCTATAACATATCCATTAATGCACTAGTGCTATAACATATCCATTGATGCACTAGTGCTGTAATGAAGATTCTTATAGCAGTCCTATAAAAATGTGAAGCAATCTTTTATTGTATCGTCATAGATGAGAGGTATTATATGTAATTATTTAAAAGATTCCCACTACCTTCTTTCCTTTATATATAATAGATTTATAATTATTCTTCATGAAGCATAATTTCATGAGAGATGTGCCTTTCATATTTAACAAATTCAGTGTTGGTTTAATTTCAATAATACTATTCAAGCACTCAATTTTTAAAAAAAATCATCATTGTTTAAAATCAAACAATCCAATTTCCAATTATCAGGGCTAGAATAAAGGAAGTTATATACGGAGGGAGTTGTGAGAAAACCGAATATTTGGGTTGTATGAGACCTGGAGAATTCACAGCAACTTAAATATGACATGTATTTTTTTAAATTTTCTTTCTTTTTTTTTCTTTTAATTTTTTCTCTTTTTAATTTTTTTCTTTTTAAATTTTTTCCTTCAGTAACAGCACCTCTTACACGACAAGTTGGCTCCATAGCTGATCTCGATCCAGTTAATGACTATTATGGCTCCCTCTCTGCTGATTTCCGTGGGTCACAATCGACAGCCTCTAGTGGTAATTACGTCAATAATAATCATCATCCACATCAGCAGGCCTCGCAGATGACTGCAGCACAAAACCACACCACCACCCCACAGAACTCTGGTGTAAGTATACCATTACTTCATTTCAGGAATGTTAATAATTCTTGCCTTCATTGTTAATGAAGTCGGTTTATTATATAATCATTTGAGCTAAGAGTATTTCCTTTCATTTGTTATTTTAATTTGATTGTATGTAAAGATATTGTAATTGCTACCCTGAACAAGATAAAATTCAAATAATTTTCATATAATTTTGGTTAGCTTTATTTTTTGAATTTACTAAAACTAATTAATGTTAATTAATAACATATCCTTATGGAATGTTATTTACAATAGTGCATTTTTATTATCTCTCATGTGTTTTAATATAAAAATGAACAATGTAGTAAATATTTTTTATTTTATTTGATACTGAAACCAATCTCTGGTTTGAAATTTTTCTTTGTATATTGTATGCTTTGTGTTAATATAGTCGTAGAAATAGTACAGGAATTGGTGTTAGGGTAACCATATGACCCTATTTTGTAGCAATCAACCCTACACTGGTGGGTGCCCTACACACATGGAGATGTGCCCTATTGTTCTTGCTGTTTCTGCTTGTATCACGAATTGGCTGCACTGCCTTTTAGTATTGAATCTGAAGTCTGTATATTGAATAATAGAAAATATTAGTACTTTCTCAAGAGAGAAATTTAAAATTGTGAAACTTAGCTTCTGTACAACTGCTTCAATTGTTTTGCAAGGTGATAGATATGGCATGCCATCTGAGATGCCTGAAGTTCTCTCTTGAAAGAAGATGCTTGAACATTCAATGATGCTGTAAGCTTAGTTTTGAGGCCCTTCCACTGTCAGAAAATCACAAAGTAGCCTTGCAAAAGCTCCATAGTTATTATGTTCATTATTCTTCTTAAAAGATACCTACAACTTTTTAAAGGGTAATTATCTTTTGGTGACTAAAATTACCCTTCTTTAATTAAAAACTTCCTGTAAAATTATCAACCTTTTTCTTGAACTTATGGATTGCATCTATTTCATCAGGGTCTAGTTTAAAAAAAGTCATAACTGCTAAGAAAGCAGAATATTCAGGATGTTCAGACGCCAAACAAATGGATGGAGTTTCTATTATTATGATTCAAATGCATACAAAATACATAATTGTCAATAAAGATGGCTTCAGTTTTTGAAATGATATTGAAGGGTCTTCATTTAAAGTAATGGTAATATCACACTTTTGTGTTACTTGGTCAGATCCTTCCCTGTTAATTCATCAGTGTTTTTACTTCTAAAGCATGGTTGTTGTTGTTGTTGTTGTTGTTTTAGGTTAATTTTCAACAATAGTATTTATCACTTTTCGAAGATATATTTGGCTACACCAACAACATATTATAGAGACATACATGTACTTAGAAATGAAGGACTAAAACATACTTGTGTATCAATTGCTAGGCTTAGGGATTTCCAATATGAGGACGCTAGTTTTTAAATGTTGCAATAATTTATAAACACTGTTATTATGAATGTTGTTAATTGGTATACACTAATTGTTAAATTTCTTCATCAATATTAAAAGTACTCTAGTCAAGAGTCACCTTCCAACAACATGGGTTATCACTAGGGAGTGGATTTCTATGATATTGCATATTTTTGTCCATTGCTTCAGGGCGTAGCTATATGAATTTTTTTTTTACCTTTGGTTAGAATTGGATGCTGTGTAAAGTAATATATTAGTGTATATTTGGCCAGTTGTTTCCTGTTTCTGCATATTTGTGTAATTATAAGTGCACATTTCATTGAAATAGACTTCTCTTAAATATTTCAACTTTTCATAGAATGTTTTCATAGAAAAATTGTACTTGATGTGAAATCTTTGAAGAACCGTTAAAGAAAAAATTGCTTATCTCTAAAACTGTTGTTTTGGAAAGATGACGAAAAATTGAACTTTTGCATTTTTCGGAAAAGATGTTTACCACAGATTGGCAGACGTTCTCCCGTCAAGCAATTTTTCGGTAACTAAGACCACAAAACATTGATATTCACTACACTACGGGTTAGAGGAAGTAATTTATATATTGAAACACGATTTATCCACTTTTTCAATACCAGACCTCGCAGTAGTCGTTTTCTGTCAAAAATTCGCATTTTCCGGAGCATTATTACAATACTTTATCTTCTTACGGAGTAAGGCGAGAAAGTAAACATATTCTCTACCTAGAAATTGAAGTAAAAAAAAGGAGAAAATAGTGACAGTCTAATGATTGAGCTTCCCACATTTTAATAAAAAATGTATACAGTATTTTTCCTGAAAGATTGGCGTGTTTATAATGGTGTAGCTCAGGGTTGTCAAACTGGCGGCCCGCGGTGCCATTTATTGTCTGTCGTGAAAAGTTATTAGTCAAATGTGAATGTCCCGTGCATCCGTCGGGCGAGAACATTCTGGGCCTAGCGCACGCGCCCTGCCGCGGAGAACACCCCATTAATGTTCGTAAGAGTCGGTTAAGATCAGATTTAAGGATTTTTCTTCTAGTAAATTCAGAAATTCAATATCATCGGAATATTTCACTGCTTTGTGCGTTGGTAAGGACTGCTACCACGCATGGTTCCATCCCCCCCCCCTCCGCCGTTTCAGAGCAGCCAGGCACACGAGATCAACAAGACGGGGTTACGTGTGGATCGGCTGAGTAATGAAAATATGGCCCGTAACCATAACAAAGGTTTTAGATATAGCTCTTGAGGCCTTGGAAGTTGGATACCTCAGGTGTAGGTGAAAATTAAATTAAATTAAATTAATTTAAACTTCCCCGCATTCCAGTTCCATCGCAAATACAAAAATAAGTTTTAAAGTGAATTTGGAAGCTTGCTAGGTTTTTTATTTCCAAAAAATCGATTAATCTTCCAAGAGGATTTGAAATTGGCCTTCTTGAAGTCAAAAGACGCGACTCTAACGCGGGGTGTGGCTTGAAATATTGCAAATACAATTTTTATTTAATTAGTATCCACAATTAAATTAAAATCTCATTTCACAAAAATATTTACGCTAATATAAATTTTAAATGTTATGTACAAAAAGAGGGGGATATTGAACAAAAATAATTGTGGTCGTTATGAGAATTCTTTTTGAAAAGACACTGCGCTCTCTGAGTATTTTTTGTCCACAGAAAAGGGGGTTTTCAACCCTAGTTGTGTGAATTTCCTGTCAATGGAAACTTTTATCGCAATCCTAAGCGTTGTCGGATGTTACTGTGTATTCCGAGAGAAGAATTCAAGCGTCTGGAAAGGCACATGGTTTCCACGGCATTGCGAATTTAAACATTTGTATAAAGCCAAGCTCCAAAATTTCTAATTGATCACTTTTGATTGAGTGGTTTTCTGGACGTGCCAACTTTTTTGGCTATTAGTTCCGGATGTGTTGTCAAAGATCAATACCTGTAACAAGTATTAACCCTCAGCTTCTGGGACTATGACTCATAGCTCGATCAGCTTTTCTTGTCCAATATCCCGTGGTCCATTGAGCAAATCTGAAATAACTCCTTGTTTTCCTTCTGGCCATCAAGATTCTCACCTTCTCTCTCTCTTTCTTTCTTTCTTTCTCTCTCTCTCTCTCTCTCTCTCTCTCTCTCTCTCTCTATTTTTTCCTCTTTCTCTTTTTTCGCTTCTCTTCTCTTTTTTTTCTCTCTCTCTCTTTTTTCTCTCTCTCTCTTTTTTTCTCTCTCTCTCTTTTTTTCTCTCTCTCTCTTTTTTCTCTCTCTCTTTTTTCTCTCTCTCTCTTTTTTTCTCTCTCTCTCTTTGTTTTTCTCTCTCTCTCTCTCTTGTTTTCTCTCTCTCTCTCTCTTTTTTTTCCTCTCTCTCTCTTTTTTTTCTCTCTCTCTCTCTCTTTTTTTTTTCTCTCTCCTCTCCTCTTTTTTTCTCTCTCTCTCTCTCTTTTTTTTCTCTCGCTCTCTCTCTTTTTTTTCTCTCCTCTCTCTTTTTTTTCTCTCT